TTGCGGTGTCAGCACTTTGGTGTACGTGGTCCTCGCGCTCATGTGCTCACCCGTCTCGCTACACCGCCCCCATCTACGGCTCTCGTGGCTGGCGTTCTTGCTGTGCTTCTTCGGCTTCGGGCAGGACGTGGTGCTGGACAGCGTCGCCTTCCCTGCCCCGCTTTCGCTTCCTGGGGTCGTGATGGTGGATCTGCAGCCGGGCATGCTGGGCGCGTCAGGCGCTCCAGAGCTGAAGTACCTCCTCAAGAACAAGGCGACGGACAAGATCGTGACCGCCGTTGGCGTCGTGACGGTGACGATCAACAACAAGGCGCCCATCGTGAGCTCCGCGACTTGGGCGTGCCGCAGCCTGTACATCGTGTTCTTGTTATTGTGCCTCAGCGGGCGGCCGTCTGGCACTCTTTTCCATGCGATGCAGGTTGCGCGACATTTCAGGCAGTATGTAATGCAGTCGGCCGCCATGTATACCCAGATATGTTCAACTAGGCTGTTGGAAGGTTCCCATTCTTCCCACCGCCGCCTGGCGACTTCGGCGAGGCTCTTGGCCCGTCCGACAGGCTACGGTTGGACCATGGCGATGTCGTTCCTGCTGGGTCGCGTCTCTGTCTTTGGATCGGCTACCCTGGGCAGCCAATCGTGGGGCCAGGCGCAATTTATTTTATGCGTGTTACCGCGGCTGGCATTGCTGCTAATTCAGGCGCCAATTTTGAGTCGGGACCTGCGACTCCTCACCCTCCCCCTGCTTGGCTCGGCGCGCGGCCCGAGTCCAGTAGGGAAATAGGTGCTCGAGATCGCAGCAGGTCTCGCGCCCACATTCGCCGCGCCAGGCCAGTCTCTTCGCCGAGTAGCTCGCCCCCTCCCAGCGGAGGCGTGGCCTCCCACAGCGTCGGTGGTTCACTGTCGCCCAGGGAGGAGCCTAACCGTTCCGTGAAGTCCGCCAAGGAAGGGCTGCGCGCTCAAGAAGCCTTCGAGGAGGTGAAGCGCCGTCGAGTCGTTTCTCCACCGTCGCCTCGGGCTGGTAAGCGGGAATCAGTGGCTCGGCCTCCTGCTGGCCCGCCGCCAACGCGCCTGGTCGAGGCCCGCCGCGCCAAAGAGCGCAGCAGGGCTCCCCAGGCCAAGTTCCACGCAGGGGAAGCCACGTGCTCGGTGGGCCATTCGCTAATCCTTCTACATGAGGCGAATTGGAGGTTCGTCTGTGAGTGGTGCAACAATCGTCTCCCGCGCGGCTCGATCACCTTCTGGTGTAGGGCGTGTGAGTGTACGGTTTGCGGCGACTGCTACTCGCCGCCTACGCCTCCTAATGAAGTGTCTGCTTCAGAGCAGGAGGGGGATTCAGCAGCTAGCGGCTCTGCTCCGTCGCAACGCTCGGCCGCCCCCGCTGCCAAACGCATGTCTGCTTCGGCACGTGCCACGGAGCAGGTCCCAAAGAGGCTGTTCAGGCCCAGCTACGACGACGTGCGCCCCCCGTGTGCACGAACTGCAAGGGCAGAGCCTAGCCAGGCTTGTACTCGAAATCAGGCAGGTACCACTGCGCCGCTCCTTTGTGCCGTAACTGCATGCCCGAAGGATGGATGCCGTCTTGCTTCAGGTGCCAGACGAGCACATGAGACGGCCAACGGCGGGGTCTTGCCTCGCTCGGCGCGGGCAAGGGCTTCGTCTGCAGATTTTGTTGGCTCGAGGAGTGCACGGAGGCAGACCTGCCCTAGTGGCAGCGCTGGTTCACGCACCGACAGAACATTTACGGTCGTGCATTTGGAGGCTCCAAGTTTGCCCCGCCGCACTTTGAGGCCTGGCGCGGCTCGGCGCTCCACCTTTTTGAGGTTGTGTGCCTTCCAGGATCTTTCAAGCTTGCCGTGCTTGCGGCGCGGGTCTCATTTTCTTTTCTGTTCCCGTCGGTGTTTGGCACTTTCGGGGGGCTCCTTTTTTCTGGACTATTCGCGGGCTCGGCCTGGCTGCGCGTGTCGGTGCCCCTCCCCGTGGTGGTCCCTCGGGGTTCGGTGGATTTTTCGTTGTTGGCGTGTCTGGTCTTTGGCCTTTCACTGCTGCGCGATCGCGCGGTGCGTCCAGGCTTGGGCCCTGGTGATTTGTACGGAACATCGCGTGGCCACGGGGGCATGGCCCTGACTGTGGTCTTGGGGCCTTGCGTTTTGAGCGGATGCTGTGCCTCCTTTAAATCACGGGGTACTGGCGCAGGCCTCACCCAGCACAGCCCGTTTTACATGCTCCTCACGGGGCTCTTTGGCTGTGGATGTCAAGAAAAATCCTCCTCCTCCTCCTCTTCCTCCTCCCCCTCCCTTTTCTCCTCCTCTTCCTCCTCCTCCTCCTCCTCCTTTCTCCTCTCTCCTCCTCCTCCTCCTCCTCCTCCTCCTCCTCCTCCTCCTCCTCCTCCTCTCCTCCTCC